TCGGGAGACAGCACTTCAGAGAGCTCTGAGAAACTGCTCCAAAGAGGCAGCGGGGAAGGTCAGGATAGATGTGATTTTGGTGAAGGGGGAGTACATGCAATCGAGCACATATTTTTTTGCAGCAGGTTTCTGCTAATCGCGAGGAGCAGTCGTCACCATGAAGGATTTTAGTGCTTTTCTAGATATGAGGAAATACAAGAACTGGGCTCATAAAATCAGCTCCTGAAAATATTTAACTTATCTGAAGACCTGTTCTGCCAGTTTTCCCAAAGCACAGAGGCCTCATTTCTGCTCTCCACCCTGAACTCCTTTCCTGGGGGGTGTTGGAAGTCAGCAGCTGCAGAGCACATGATTTAATCCTTGTAGAGGTAGATGGCAAGTGCCAATTGTAGTTGACAGGGCCCCCTTGCAGTCATAAATTTGACCATGCTTTGGGAGGCATTTCATGACCAATTCGCCCCACAGTGCTAGGAAGGCTCATTCCTAGGTCTGGCGAAGATTTCGCTGAGAGGTCATTCAATGTGCTGTTACTGGACTAGGTCTTAGAAACAATAACTAAAGACTCCAGACCCCCTGTCTTACTAATGTATTATGGTCCAGGAAAAATTCCCTCTTGTTGTATCTTCCCATATCTAGAGTTACACTAGGACAATCATTGATCTCACACAGAACTATATATTTTTGTCGGTGGCTCAGTCACACATTTGCTAATGCAAGAAACAACAATCTTGTAAAACAGGTAAAATACAGATAACATAGCTAGCAGTATTATTCAAGTCGTAAGTGAGAATTAAGCCAAGAACTTCCATTAGGTGCAGCCCAGTATATCCTTAGGTCATCTGACTTGGTCTCTTCTGTACCAATCCTTATCTTTCAGGGAAATGATATATTGGCACTGTCCATAAGACCCCCAGCCCAGCCCAACTTCCTAGTGTTACTAGGCTGGTTATCCTTAGCATAATTTAATTGTTCCCAAGATAAAAAGGGGCCTTAAAACTTAAATGACCATAGCCTGGTGTTAACCACATAAATCCATCCCATAATTATAGGAGGTTTTATTCCTGGGCTGAAATTTTGCTGTTGCTCTGATTGAGCTTGAATAACTTTAGAGGAAAATTCATTTTTTTGGCCAGGGTCAGAGCAGGTATTATTAATTGGCTAGGTGAGGGGATCCCATCTAGTCATATCAAGAGTAGCCTGAACAGGACTGAACTTTCTTTCTTGTAAAATAAATGTCCTAAGGGCCATCCAATTAGAGCCTTGGAGTGGAGAAATCCACCAAGGTAATCCAGAAGGGCTAGATACAGGTAATTGGCCACAAACCCAACAATTGGATTGATTTTTCAAACTAGCATAGCATCGTGTCCATGATAGAAGAACATCTGATTTATATGCAAGGGTCCTGGAAGACAAGAAAACATTATAAATGATCCTACGAATCAGGTCCAGCATCTTGGGTAAGCTGTCTACTTCTGATGTCATCTTCTTCTCATCCGGCTGTGAGTGTAGTTTCCTCTGTTTGAGCATCATTTTAAGGTGAGTTTGAGGTCAGCAGTCCTCTCTATAGACCAGTCCGGTGCAGGGGCCCTTCGTGAGTAGAAATTAATCCAAGCATCAATTCCCTTCAGTTTCACTGTGCATGAGCTATAGTTAAAAGTACCAGATAAGGGTCCTTCCGTCCGGGTTGGAGACAGTCCTTTAAACTATGTCTTTTCCAGTGTGCATAATCCCCTGGTTGCAGGTCGTGGGGCATCTGATCTTCATCCAAAAGTAGATTACTGAGATAGGCTTCAGAAACAAACTGAGAGCGTCCTTTTAACACTTCAATTAGACTTTACATTAATATAACATAACAGCAAGGAACTATCTGGGAAGTGAGTCTTAGTAAATACAGACCTCTATTAGCAAAACTGGAACTTAATATTCACTGAAACATAATCCTTTTCTCTCTAAAATTACCCTCATGTTTACCAAATATAACCAAATTAAGACTAGTTTGTTTGCAAAATAAGTCTGGTCTCAATAAACTTGGCCTGATAATTTATATAACTATCATTGATGATACAGGCTTTTCGCTTTGCTGAAACTTTTATAAGGAGTCTCATACTGAACTTTTAAAAGACCTCTCAGGGCTAGGAAAGTCACTCCAAGGGCTTATCACAGATTTCACCTAACAGATCTAGGTGAATTCCTCCTTTTTTTTTTTTTTTTTTTTGAATTATTCCTTTTTTAAGGTCCCCCAAATACCTTGAGCTTTCTGTACCTGTTAGTGAGTGGCCTTCCTAATTTATCTCATAAAGCTGCTAGGAACCTAAGAGTTTACAATCCCTGGAGGGAGCAGTTAGAGAAAAAAAGATATGTTCCAATCCTGCTTACAAAGATATAATTTACCAAATTACTGTAAGTCATAATGAGTTTGAGGGAAAGGTTTCCTAATACCTGGAAAACACAGATTTAAACCAGTAATTTTTCAGATAAAAACCATAAAAACTATAACCGTATTCACCAGTTCACTCAGTCTTATGTAACTATTTTTGTTAACAGTTTCTCATTAGGATTCTTTAATTTCTTACCCAGTTCAGCATTATGGTCTGAAAGTCAGAAACTTGTATTTGTCCAAAAGTCCTTTTTATAAATCTTCTTGAAGCGGAAACGTTTTTGCAAAGGCGTCAGAATAAAACCGTAACTGTCTATAATGATGAAAGACTTAAGGAGGCATGTTTAAATCTGATTACAATGCAACTGACAAAGAAACTTGGTTACTGCTGTGACATATAGCACTTTCAGATAATAACTAGAATTATGACTGATAACATTTTACCAGGACATATCAGAATTTTAGGAACTCCATATAATTTCTAGGATATCTATATTAGTAACATTTACCATACAATATAACTAAGAAGATTTATTACTCATTTGACAATACTTCCCATGTAATTTAACATACCAAATGAACACAATTAGTTTAATATCTCTCTTTGGGATGTTTCAGGTGCCCTTTGAAGCATCCCAAAGTTAGCTAGAGGTCAAAAGGACTTCACTGGAATTTGATTTAGGAGGTTTTTTTTTTTTAAGCTTTTATTGAATTTGTTACAATATTGCTTTTGTTTTATGGTTTTGTTTGTTTTTTTTTGAGGCATGTGGGATCTTAGTATCCCACCAGGGATTGAGCCCACACCCCCTGCATTGGAAGGTGAAGTCTTAACCACTGGACCGCCAGGGAAGTCCCTGATTCAGGAAGTAAGTTTTGTCAAAAAAAAAAATCAAAAAGGGTTTAGAGCACTTAGATAGGACAACAGGTCACTCTGAAACAATAGTTATTCACTTAGCCAAAGTAACAATAAAGATTTCAAAGGCAAATACAGAACAAATCACTTAAAAGGAAAGAAACTTGAAATCTGTTATCAAAGGCAGTTCAACATTTTAAGAAATCTTGTCCTCTTAAGAGAGAGAAAACGAAAATTCAAGTTTTGCACCCGCTTGTTTTTAAAATTCATTTACTCAAATTTTTAAAACTTAATTTATTAATTTATTTTTTATTTTTGGCTGCATTGGGTCTTCTGCTGCGTGCTGGCCTTCTCTAGTCGCAGAGAGCGGGGGCTACTCTTCGTTGCGGTGCGCTGGCTTCTCACTGCGGTGGCTTCTCTTGTTGCGGAGCACGGGCTCTAGGCACGTGGGCTTTAGTAGTTGTAGCATGTGGGCTTCAGTAGTTGCAGCGCGTGGGCTCAGTAGTTGTGGCACATGGGCTTAGCTGCTCTGCGGCATGTGGGATCTTCCCAGACCCGGGCTCAAACCCGTGTCCCCAGCATTGGCAGGCGGATTCTAAACCACTGCGCCACCAGGGAAGTCCCTACTCAATTAAATTTATTTTAACCTTAGTCAATCCTGACCATGCACATAACTCTTTTCTTGGGGTCCACTTTCCACAAACGTTTCCTTACTTTCTGTATCCATCATTTTATTTTCCCATTCAGAAACAGCCACCTGTAAGTCAGACCTACTTCCTTTTCCCTTAATAAAATGTAATTCCATTCTTCATCCCTTCTTTACTGGAAACACACACCCTACTTTCCTACTGTAGACTGAAATGTTTCCTTTATTATTTCTATTAGCTTTAATTACATGTTTAAGTTAGAATCCTCAGCTCTTACAACCTTACTTTCTTGTGAAAACGAAGAAGTAAGCAATTATGAACTGTCCTTTACGTCGGCATTCTGTAGATTGGTGAACATAAATACCAGTGATATTTTCTAAAAATATTTGCTTTCTTTAGAGAATGTGACACCAAACATATTCATTAATAGTCCTAGATACCTTTTGTTTCTCTGTAAAAGGAAGCCAATATTCAGTAATTAGTGTTTTGGCATATTATTTTATTTGGGAATGCTAGCTATTCAATAAGCTTCCATCACTTAACTTAATTTAGCACAGCTCTAGAATTTCAAGTTACCAGAATCTGGAGAGACTATTTCATCTTATTTTATTTTTTAATTAAAATACTGAGTTTAGGCCGGCCAGGGCCCCAGCTGAGCTGCGCTTATCTCCGCAGGGGCGGGCAGGGGGATGCCCAGGGGACCATGGGCCCTGGGCCCTGAAGCCTCCGGGGCCACATCTCTCTGAGCAGTGAGTGGGATCTGGGGCAGGGCGCCGAGCGCAGACAGGCCTGGAGAGAAAACAGAAAACCAAAAAAAACCCTGAGTTTATTTCACATGTATATTTTTGTCTCCCCACCATTTCCATTTGTCTGACCACCACTACTACTATGTCCTATCATAACATTCCATACCTACTTAAAACCAAGCAAAGGGTGGAGTTCCATCTTTAAAAACTAAACAGGCATTTTGGACAACACATTCTTGGCAATGGAACCTGGACAACATTTATCAGACACGGTAGGGGAAGTTCTCACTCTGCACTCTAAAAAGGACAGCCAGATAGCAACTGTTACAGAAATGAAATAAGATGGGAAATTTTAACAAAATGTTTAAACTATTTTCTTAAAGAGACTTCCTCCACTGCCAGAGATCTTGAATAGCCTCCTGGTCAGTCATCCGGAAACAGTTCTTCACATAATTGATGAATTTGGCTTCCACTTTGGGAAGGGAACCACCTTTTTCTATACTTGCTTGCATTTTTGCTTTAATGTCTTCTAAGAGCTAGGTCCTTTCGGTGTTCTAGGAGTTTTTTCCTGTTTTTTGAAGGATTCTTGACCTTTTGATCTTGGTGTTGATGGCTTTGAGTCTTTTCCATTCTGGTCTGATTTTTGTTAACTTTTGGCTGGAGTATCTCGTACAGATTTCTTTACTGGAGCTTTTTCTTCAGCTTCCTCATCATCAGAGTCATCATCTTCATTGTCATCTTCATCATCATCTTCATCTTCATCAGCAGCAAGTTTTACTTTTTTCTGTGGAAGCTTGCTACCGCTTCCAGGGGCAGAATGCTTTCCAGACATACTTAGGAGTGTCACACCCTCCTCCTCTTTGTCTTCTGACTCTGCATCTTCCTCCACAGCTACTAAGTGCTGTCCACTAATATGCACAGGCCCTGAACCACACTTCAACCATCAGACCACAGGTGGTGTTGTTTCAAAGCCCCCAAGGAAATCCGTTGGCTGCACAGACATTTTCAAAGTTGCCAGTGTTACTTTGATTGGACTGCCTTCATAATTCATCGCCTCTGCTTCGACAATGTGCAGTTCATCCTTTGTGCCAGCCCCTAAACTGACCGTTCTTAAAGATAACTGGTGCCCGGGGCTTCCCTGGTGGCGCAGTGGTTGAGAGCCCGCCTGCCGATGCAGGGGACACGTGTTCGTGCCCTGGTCTGGGAGGATCCCACATGCCGCGGAGCGGATGGGCCCATGAGCCATGGCCGCTGAGCCTACGCGTCCGGAGCCTGTGCTCCGCGACGGGAGAGGCCGCGACAGTGAGAGGCCCACGTACCGCAAAAAAAAAAGAAAGATAACTGGTGCCCATTTTCATCATTATCCACCTTAAAGTGATAATCTTTGTCGGCCTTTAGTTCACAACAGAAAAGATAGTTCTGGGGCCTCAGGGGGCTCATGTCCATGTCCATCGAATCTTCCATGGGTTGGTGGCACATACTTAGGTGGGAGAGAAGGCGGACGGAGAAAAAAGACTACTGCTCCAGGGAACAGGTGCACAGGACGGAATCACACCAGGTGGAGAGACTATTTTAGATGGACATTCCTAAAGCATAATTATTCTTCTTAGAGTTTATCTAAAAGCTCTTAATCTCATTTATATTTTCTTTCCTTAAAAGTTTTTTCACATCAAATTACTTTCCTTGCTGACAAATTTGTAACAGATATAACAAGATCTTATTTAGCTTATATTAAACTGAAGCACAATAAAGTATTATACTTAATGTTGATGACTCTAAAGACATGTCTATATTAATTAGATCAACAAATATTAATACCAGGTATTAATTTAATACTATTTCCCAGTTCATGTGAACCTGAAATTCATTTAGCTTAATTTCTCTTGCATTTAGAATTGTTTGATTTGTAAGCGCTTCTTTTCTTTAAGCCAATTAATAGAGCTCATTTACAGATTAACCACAGCAATATTATCCAAAGACAAAGACACATACTAAGACATACATATATCCAGACAGACACAACAAGAAATCTAGCTGCATTTTCTAAACTTAGTCATGAATCAGATATTACAATATAAAACTCACTAGTTTATAAACAACACTTGGAATAAGAAAAAAATTAAATTTTTGTTTTTGTCCTTTTTATCCCTCAGTCTCAGGAATTAGAGATGGTCTAGATAAGGTAAGTGATCCTGAGAGCTCTGGTCTCAAGGCACAGGGAGAGAAAATCAGGCTTTCCTAGTAGAACTCATTCCCTCAGGGTCAGAATTCTGAAGAGATTTTTTTTCCTTCAAGCTAGCTTTCTCTACTGGTTGGGAATTAAACAGGGGCTGGTTAACCTTTGACTGGCATTGTGTACTTAATTGGCACAATTGAAGGTTCATAATTTTCGTAGTTACTCCCTTTTCTTTCTTTCCTTTTTTTTTTTTTTTAATGGTTTTCGAAGGTTGGTCAGCCAGTGTCTCAAAGGTGTTTGTATGTAACATGGACCAACCTAGATTGGGTTTTTGACTAGAGTAGATAAATCCTCATCTAAGCCTTCTAAAAAGGCGGAGTTTAAGCAGAGGATCATCTTGGTGGTTAGAGAATGATTCAGGTGTCAAGACAGAATGTTGCTTAAAAGTTTTTTTTTTCCCCTCAAACCTTTCCTAATAGTCCAGAATTCATTCATCCAATCTTTGCTTGCATTATTGAATCTCTGTCCAGTCTACGGTTTTTGGAAAAAGCTCTGGGATAAATTCAAGTAATTTCTGAGCTAATCCCTTGTATTCAGTGCAAGCCTCTGGATTATGTGATTCAAAATCCATTAAGGGGGCTTCCCTGGTGGCGCAGTGGTTGAGAGTCTGCCTGCCGATGCAGGGGATGCGGGTTCGTGACCCTGTCCGGGAAGATCCCCCATGCCGCGGAGCGGCTAGGCCCGTGAGCCATGGCCGCTGAGCCTGCACGTCCGGAAACTGTGCCCCGCACCGGGAGAGGCCACAACAGTGAGAGGCCCGCGTACCACAACAACAAAAAAAAAAAATCCATTAAGGGGCGTTTCCATCTTGCCTTCTCTATCCATTCCCTTGCTTTCAGAAACTAACAGCTGTATTAATTGATATAGATCTGGAAACCCGGGCTCGTAGGTCCAGATGGTTAATTCAAATTCCTTAGCAAATCCCAATGAATCCTGACTTGGATCGGGAAATTCCTTAGCCAAAACTCTAAGTTCTACTTGGGTTCAGGGTGTGTACGTAAGCACCAAGGACGGCTCACCTCTCCCTGTAATGAGTTTCTCCTTAAAGGGAGCTATAGGGCTTCCCTGGTGGTGCAGTGGTTAAGAATCCGCCTGCCAATGCAGGGGACACGGGTTTGAGCCCTGGTCTGGGAAGATCCCACATGCCACGGAGCAACTAAGCCTGTGCGCCACGGCTACTGAGCCTGCGCTCTAGAGCCCGCGAGCCACAACTACTGAGCCCACGAGCCACAACTACTGAAGCTTGTGTGCCTAGAGCCCACGTTCCGCAACAAGAGAAGCCACTGCAGTGAGATGCCCGTGCACTGCAACGAAGAGTAACCCTCACTCGCTGCAACTAGAGAAAAGCCTGCGTGCAGCATCGAAGACCCAATGCAGCCAAAAATAAATAAATAAAATAAATAAATTTATTTTAAAAAGGGAGCTATAATCACTTCTGATTTTTTAGTCCTCCTTTGCTGGGGAGAGGGCAGTGGCAGGAGGCAGAAGAGTTGGGAGAGAAAAAGGAGATGTCATCTGGACCATTCAGATAGAAGAGGTCACGTGGGAGGAGCAGAGGGAGAGACGGAGTCAGAGACAGAGGGCCAGCAGCCTACTTAGAAGCTTCTAGACACCAATCAAAGTAAGCATTCCATGCAATCTGTTTGATCTTACGGCGGCTTTTTCTAATTCTGTGCACAAAACAGCAATTTTGGGATAGCAGAAGAACCCCAATTTGGCCATTTTATGTTGAGATCTCCTTTAGTATAATTTCCCCAATTACGTAGGTACTTGCATGTATAAACCTGGCTGAGGTGTTAGCCAGAGGCTGGCTTTCTGATGCCCCTTGTTTCTGTGTTTGAGAGGCTCTATTTCCCATATTTAAAATATTTATTTATTTGGTTGCACTGGGTCTTAGTTGCGGCAGGCGGGCTCCTTAGTTGCCACTCGCCGGCTCCTTAGTTGTGGCATGCGAACTCTTAGTTGTGGCATGCATGTGGGATCAAGTTCCCTGACCAGGGACGAAACCCGAGCCCCCTGCATTGGGAGCGCAGAGTCTTAACCACTGAGCCTGCAGGGAAGTCCCCTGTTCCCCATTTTAAAGTAGAATTTGTTAGGGATAAAATTGACTAGTGAAACTGTGTGGCTGCCAGTGTGCTGCTTGTGAGCTTAACTCCTCTAGGCATCCCCCCAGAGTCGTTTCAGCCCTCCTACATGTCTCAGTTTCTCCTTTTGGTGGTCTAAGACCACCACAGGTGCTCGCTGAATGGCCGATTCTTATCTGCGACCCCTGGATGAGCAAATGTTTTAATTAATGAGTGGGCTTCCCTATGGGACCACTGCACGGTATGAGGACTCTGCCTCCAAGCCATGACCAGCCGGGAGGAGTCTTGTCCCTTTTCTTCGGAGCAAAGCTCTTGTGTAATATCTTCACTTTTATCCCAACAAATTCTATTAAGGCGGCCAAATTGAGGACAAGCGTCAGATCAGCCTCTTACCTAACCACTCAGTGCAGACCACTCTGTCTTCTGCAACTGAGCAAACCCTGGTATCTTTCAACCAAGCCCCCCGCACCCCAGTATCTTTCAACTGGGTGGGTATTCCCCAGTATCTTTCAGCCAGGCCCACCCCTCCGCCAGGTATCTTTCAACTGGGAGGGGTCAGGTACCTGCTATACACCCCCAAATAAAACTCAGGATCATCAACCAATACGGGAGATCTGAGAACCAGGAGAGACTCACCCAGATTCATCTGGACTCTCCAAGGTGGCAGATGGGCGCAAGGGGCCTCTGCTTGTACCAAGGCTCTGGTTCCTCATAGAGTTCCAGTGAAGGAGAGAAGTCCATTCTGGATCCCTTCGTGGTTGCCATAAAAACTGTCAACTAAAAAAATTCACAGGGCTTCCCTGGCGGCGCAGGGGTTGGGAGTCTGCCTGCCGATGCAGGGGACACAGGTTCGTGCCCCGGTCCGGGAAGATCCCACATGCCGCGGAGCGGCTGGGCCCGTGAGCCATGGCCGCTGAGCCTGCGCGTCCGGAGCCTGTGCTCCACAACGGGAGAGGCCACAACAGTGAGAGGCCCACATACCACACAAAAAAAATTCACAACATGAGGGTTGCAAGTTAGGTTTTTGGGGGGGCAAAATGAGGACTGCAACCCAGGAGACAGCACTTCAGAGAGCTCAGAAACTGCTCCAAAGAGGCGGCAGGGAAAGTCAGGATATATGTGATTTTGGTGAAGGGGGAGTACATGCAATTGAGCACATAGTTTTTTGCAGCAGGTTTCTGCTAGTCACGAGGAGCAGTCGTCACCATGAAGGATTTTAGTGCTTTTCTAGATAAGAGGAGATACAAGAACTGGGCTCATAAAATTGGCTCCTGAAAATATTTAACTCTCTGAAGACCTGTTCTGCCAGTTTTTCCCAGAGCACAGAGGCCTCATTTCTGCTCTCCACCCTGAATTCCTTTCCGGGGGGTGGTGCAAGTCAGCAGCTGCAGAGCACATGATTTAATCCTTGTAGAGGTAGATGGCAAGGGCCAATTTGTTGTTGACACTTTATAGTGAATTATAAACTATACATGGAAAAGCATATCATGCAGTCGATAAATCCTCACAAACTGGACAAGCCTGCAAGGCCAGGATCCAGCTCGGGAAGCAGACTGGGACCTCAGGAGCCCCCCTTGTTCCCAGCCACTCCTCCCCCACTCCCCGTCCTGACTCACAGTTTGTCATTTACACTTGTGCCACTTTACAGTTTGGGCTTCTTGTGAGCTTCCTCCACGTCATCGTGTGTAGTCGTATTTTAGCGTGAACAGAGCTAACTTCCCAGGTTTCTGTGCTTCCTGCGTTCATTTGTCTGCTTTACTACTGATGGGCATCTGGGTGATTTCTGGTTTGGGCCTTTATGGATAAATAATGCTCCTGGGAACCTTTCACATGTGTTTTGATAGACACATACATACACATTTTTGTTGGGTGTATACCTATGAATGGGCTTGTTGGGACACAGGTTGTACAGATATTTTAGCATCAGCAGATACTGACTGCCATGCCCTTTCCAACGCAGTTGAGCCGATTTACACTCCCAACAGGCCCAGCTGCACTGGGTACTTTCTGTCTTTTCCATGTTAGCCATTCAAGTAGATTTTTAAAAAACAGCGTTACTGAGGTATTAATTTACATACTGTAACATTCATCTGTTTTTATGTGTACAATTCAGCGATTTTTAGTAAACTTACAGAGTTGTGCATCCACCACCATGAACCAATTATAGAACATTTCCATCATTCCCGGACCCCTCACGCCCGGTTTAGTTTGGTTTTTAACCTCATTTTTTTCA